TAAAAAATTCCAGGAAAAACCAGGAAAAATCGCCTGGGGGGGGGGGGCGGAAGCATTCTGCTGGTGGCGGGTGGTTAACCGGTCCATGCATATCGAACCGATAAACAGAATGAACCAAGTAAGTTCGCCCTGTGCGTTCGGTTGCTGGCGACAGATCAAGTCAGTTGGTTGTTGATCAGGTGGCTGTTAATCTGTTCGCCACCTGATCAACAACCAATAAACTCACCCGAGCTACCAATATTTCAACAAATTACCAGATCAAGTCAGTACCACATGGGCAATTAAGCTACTATTCTTAACAAGTAAACCGCCAAAAGATTGCGTAGTAGTTTCTCGTTTAGTGGTTGGCTGAATGAGTGATTCGCGTGTGACCCTGCTGTTTTACAGTATCCCAATGAGTGGCTGGTTTGATTGCGTCCCTTTTTTAATGTGTACATTACGGGTATGTTCACCTCTCAGGACACTGTCTGACTAGGTGTGTAATACGTTGAGTGCAACTGGCGCTCCAGTCAGCAGAAGCCGCGTCCTTCACCGAATGCCTGTATTGCGTGCGTTCAAAACGGGGTACTCAAATCTCAGACCACTGGACGGATGTTCGCGTGGGCTGAGTATGACCTTGCCACTCCGGTTTATTTGATTAAAAGCGCACTGTTCATCCATTACTCATACTACTTGTGTTGTATGGAAAAGGGGGATTTTCAGCTTTCATAGCACTGGCTAGCTGGATGTGAGAGTTGTGTATGGCGGTAGCAGACTGCCTCAGATAAAGGAAACTTCATTTATTGCTCAGCTCCGAAAATTTTCTCGCTGACATCCAACAAAGTTCACGGATGAATCGGTGGGAGATTTCATCGGGGTTCGAATAAGACCTGCAGTTTTTATGTTCTTCGGGCGAATATGCAAAGGCTGCTTCATGGTTTAGCAGGATGGATAGTCCGGATAATGAACTACTGTTTTTCAGTAGAAACATTACACATGGTTGATATGAATTGATGTTGTATTTGGTGGATTGCGCTTCATTGTATGGAGGTGAATACTTAAAGAGGTTTCGGATGCCATGGTTGGTAAACCGCCAGTGTTTAGCTGTCGACATCAGTGAAAAACGGCCTCTGATGAGTTAGAAGCTAATTCATTCTCAATTCTTGTTATGTAGTCAACTTCATATTCGTAAATTTTGCGAATGCGTGATCCGCTGCCGCCAAATATAATGTGTTCTTGTCACTTACACTCTGTGGTGTACACCACGAACACAATCTATAGTCTTCTACACTTGGGATCCAGTAGGGCAGTAAGAAGCCAGGGGAAAGCACTGGAACTCACGTCAGCCTTGAGCGAAGCGTCAGACAACTCTATCACATCGTTTTATCATGAGCGCCGTTCAGGCTTGATAATTAATATGCACCCAGTATGTGCTGTTGAATTGGTGGTAGCATGCTCGTCTTGCATACCAGGTATTCGGAGTTCAAATCCCAGCACAGCCGAGGATGTGCGCTGCTGATGAGCTATAGCAAGAGCGAAACTTGATTCTAATGACTCATCTATCTGGTGTGGATTCTCCAGAACAATCACACCAAGGCAAAAGGAGAACTGTTCAACCCAGAGCGACGTGAATGCAAATTCTACAACTCCCGCAGCCAAACACTGAAATGTCTGTTCTGTACACAGTCGGGTGGTAAAGGGAGTAATACAACAGACGGGGCACTGAAAACATATTTTAAAAATCTGACTGTTTACTACAGAATAGCAGGTACCTGCTTGATTCGACTGAATATCGATCAAGTTAGGAAAACTGATACTAGTGGGGCAAGACGGGTGAGAGAGTAAACGTCCCCCACCCCCGAAAGCTGTGAGTTACTTAGCGAACATACACATACATAGCGAACTTTGGTATGTCATCCCACCTAACACATCAGTTCTGTTTTTGCTGATTAATCTCCACTTAACTCTGGATAAGGTTTTATCGGGTCTGAATTTACGTCAATCTCATTCGAACAGCTCTTATCTTGTCCTGACGAAATAGTTCTGGCTGGTCCAAAGAAAGGAAGCACCGAACTTGAGTTCTGCTCCTAATAAAGCTCATCGCCAGTACACCTGTGCTGGATTGTGTACCCCGGACATCTGGAATATGAAGCCGGTTTTTCGCCACCACTCCATCAGCGCACACAAGGTGCACTTGAATTACCACGTTTAAGCAAGCGAACGTGTTCGCGCTTGAGCGCATCCCCTCGATTGGTTGACACGCTCATCAAGACTTCCTAGTCCGTTAGTGCTGCTGACACTTGTAACCTGCTGAGCAGCTTTCGATCAAATGTAGGTGTATGTGAGACTTGTGAAATTTGCATCTGTCGCCCTGCATCCTAGCAGCTCTGCAGTTGCCAAATACTTTGTGCTCTTGTTTCGTGGCTTCGCTGATTCTTGTTATGTAGTCAACTTCATATTCGTAAATTTTGCGAATGCGTGATCCGCTGCCGCCAAATATAATGTGTTCTTGTCACTTACACTCTGTGGTGTACACCACGAACACAATCTATAGTCTTCTACACTTGGGATCCAGTAGGGCAGTAAGAAGCCAGGGGAAAGCACTGGAACTCACGTCAGCCTTGAGCGAAGCGTCAGACAACTCTATCACATCGTTTTATCATGAGCGCCGTTCAGGCTTGATAATTAATATGCACCCAGTATGTGCTGTTGAATTGGTGGTAGCATGCTCGTCTTGCATACCAGGTATTCGGAGTTCAAATCCCAGCACAGCCGAGGATGTGCGCTGCTGATGAGCTATAGCAAGAGCGAAACTTGATTCTAATGACTCATCTATCTGGTGTGGATTCTCCAGAACAATCACACCAAGGCAAAAGGAGAACTGTTCAACCCAGAGCGACGTGAATGCAAATTCTACAACTCCCGCAGCCAAACACTGAAATGTCTGTTCTGTACACAGTCGGGGGGTAAAGGGAGGAATACAACAGACGGGGCACTGAAAACATATTTTAAAAATCTGACTGTTTACTACAGAATAGCAGGTACCTGCTTGATTCGACTGAATATCGATCAAGTTAGGAAAACTGATACTAGTGGGGCAAGACGGGTGAGAGAGTAAACGTCCCCCACCCCCGAAAGCTGTGAGTTACTTAGCGAACATACACATACATAGCGAACTTTGGTATGTCATCCCACCTAACACATCAGTTCTGTTTTTGCTGATTAATCTCCACTTAACTCTGGATAAGGTTTTATCGGGTCTGAATTTACGTCAATCTCATTCGAACAGCTCTTATCTTGTCCTGACGAAATAGTTCTGGCTGGTCCAAAGAAAGGAAGCACCGAACTTGAGTTCTGCTCCTAATAAAGCTCATCGCCAGTACACCTGTGCTGGATTGTGTACCCCGGACATCTGGAATATGAAGCCGGTTTTTCGCCACCACTCCATCAGCGCACACAAGGTGCACTTGAATTACCACGTTTAAGCAAGCGAACATGTTCGCGCTTGAGCACAACCCCTCGATTGGTTGACCCGCTCATCAAGACTTCCTAGTCCGTTAGTGCTGCTGACACTTGTAACCTGCTGAGCAGCTTTCGATCAAATGTAGGTGTATGTGAGACTTGTGAAATTTGCATCCGTCGCCCTGCATCCTAGCAGCTCTACAGTTGCCAAATACTTTGTGCTCTTGTTTCGTCGCTTCGCTGACTTCCATATTCATCCATGCACTGACAAATTATTTTTCACCCACACATTTCTCCTTATTTCATCCATTCACTTGCGCTTTATTTACAGCTGCTCAGTGCCTCCCTGTCTGCGGGCTTCAACATTTGACACGATTTGTTCTGAGTTCTGCGAAATTTCATGCCACACACTTGATCGGTCGACTGACGTTGTTGGATAAACTGATACGGATGGACCAAACGCTCCCATCAGTAAACCAAGCAGGCTCGGGTGCAGAACCGCACAGCGTCACTGCTACACTACTTCCAGAGCAACTACCCAACATCCTCATTAGTAACCCCGACCGACTGGCTAGACGACATCTGTGCTCAAGTTTGGTGTTTGCTAGGCGTCATCTTTTGCCACCGACTCCAAATGCGGAAATGGCTATCTGTTTCCCGCATCACTACCAGTATCAAACCGGAGCCAGTGCCAAACCGCTATCCTGTGCTTCTCCGGTGAATAGTGCGAGTAAGATATCCGACTCCATTTGCTCCCAGACGCAACAAAACAACCCTGCACTGGATAGTTTGTATAACACGCAGCTCAAAGCAAGTCGTGTGGTAAGTGAGCCCTCGTTTTTCGGTCAATTCTCAGTCCTGATGTGATAATGTTTCCTCCATAAGCACTTTTGAGAGTTGGGATATTCTTTTTGGATTCCGTCTCAACTTTATAATTAATCTTCAGAAGCGCATATCTTACAAATCTCGAATGAATTACGCTCCATGCGAGCTGCGAATGACCGACTAGCTCCTTGGCTCATTTCCTAAGACATAGTAGAGTTCCTCAACTGCGAAGAAATGTGACGACAGCAAAACAGTTGTTCATGTCATCAAATGAGTGGATATCTCGTGATATTTCCTAATTTCCATGTCTGACCTCTACACCACATTCTACACAACCGACATATTCAAGGTGACTGAGCTAAGATACTCTTTATAACCTTGACCTGACTGTCGTGTTGTAAATTAAAATCCGAAATTTAAATAGCTTTTTCAAGATTTCAGCAACTTTCACTGGGATCCATTGTGATTACAGGTTCCACGGTGGCTGCATGCAACTCGAAAGAGTCCTGTTTCGAAAGCCAGCGTTCCAAAATGTCCATCGAGGAGGACAATTTTACGTTCCTGATAATTTAGTTCAGCATAAATGTTGCACAATCCACTGGGACTTGTGATATGCTGATATATGCAGCCCATCTTTGTCATGCTGGAGACCAGTCCAGAGGCATCTGGGTCCACAGCAATGCTCGTTAACAGATGTAATTGGTTGGCCCATCTGTGCATTCTCAACTAGAAGGCTAACACTCTACCCATACACTTTACCATTGTTCGATTCATCCTAATGGCCCCTAGAAGAATGTGTTGTAGGACTGAAACCCCTGAAGACTTTTCTGTCACTTGCCAGCGTAATCTGCTAGTTTGGTAGGATGAACACGCAGGACGATCCATTCATAGCCGGTCGTTTCTTACATGTATTTTGTGGAATCTGGATTCTGCGTACGAGTGAAGGAGTGCCATCCGAGTTAGGATGGCCAGTCACTTAGCGTACGTATCGTTTAATCCCTTATGCCACCGGCTCTGGTTTTAGCATCAATCTTTACATAGGATTCACACTGAGTGCCCTCTAGCCTCGCGAAAACTGACCATGCTCTTCTCTGAAACTAGATTTAAGGCGAAGTGAACTTTCAAAAGCTTGGGTGTTTGAATAAGTAAGCATTACGAAGTTGGGCTCTTATCCCGATTGCTGGACTAGAGTAACTCTAACTGGGTAGATCAAATCCATCAAATAGGCCTCTGCTGAATAAGTAAAAGCTTCGCGCCAAAGCCAAATTAGTTGAACTTCTCTGTCCCTTTCCCCACTTTTTGGTTCCCGAACCATGGCAGTATTATCAGGTTTGTATACCCATCAGGTGAGATGCTGTGTAAATCATGGCTTATATGAATTTATTCATTTCTGACTGTCAGGCTCGTCGGGTGTTTCTCACTGCGGCTCGTTCCCTGCTGACTTACGGAAACAGAACTCCTCCAGAATATACTTCAACATCAAATGTTCACAGTGCACAAACGCCTTACAGCTCTGATGACTTTTGTCCGAGAGAATTTGTGGATGTGGAAATCAACCGGACAGAAGCTCCGTTGGCTGCTTGGATTCGGAACAAATTGGCAACACTTTTATACCCAAATTTGGTTGTCGGTCCAGAGCCTTCTTTAATCCCTGTAAGAATGACCCTAAGCGAAGCTCCAAGCATACCACCAAGGAGTGCGCAGGTAGTGAAGAAAACCACGGCAAAGCTTCCGACATCTAAGACTATCGAAACCATGTCTTGTATGACTGTTCGGCACTGTAAAAATATTTCCAATAAAAGTCGCTCTTCATCACCAGCTTTCAACCAAAAGACCTCTTCTGTCGCAATGCTTATGGACCAACCACCGACTCCTCCACCGAGAAGAAAGATTTCTATTGTACAAGAAACTGAGTTTGCTAATGAACGTCAATCTGAATCCGAACATCCTCACTTTTTCCGAGTTGCTCTGGAGCCTGCTTATGATCTGGTGCCCCTGTCTGAGTCTGAAAATTATAGCAGTATGAGCGAATGTGAAGAAGACGAGGATGTGGATCGGCAGCGGGAGGATTTCTCCGACTGTATGAATGAACCTACTTACGGTGGTCGTTCCTTAGGGTCTGAAGCCGAACTAAGAACTGAACAGAATGCCGTCCTGCGGTCGGCTCTGCGACGATGTTCTCGTTCGCTGCGACCACTTCTTCCTGTTCCTGCCTTATCTATGGTAATGGATGCGTTTCGTTCGACGAAGAAACTTCCCAGTGCTGATGAATACTACGAGTCAATCGATTGGATACGTGGGCCCATTCTTGGCCACGGAGCATTTTCTCATTGCTACCAGGCTAGAGACACAAGAACGGGCTTACTCATGGCTGTGAAGCGGATTCGGTTAGGTGGCGGATCCGTATTTCCTGTGCCAACTGATAAATCTGAGGCCAATAAAGTACCAGGCTCTGAAGGACTTGTTAATGGTGCTAATCCAGACGGGCCGCCTAAAGGCGAAAATCCTCGGCTGCAGAAGACCAGTAGAGTTTTGTCCGCAGAGGCCGCTGCACAACTATCCGAAGTACAGGCGGAGGTAGATATCATGATACGATTAAGTCCAACGAACGTCCTTCGTTTGTTTGGCGTGGTCTTTTGTGCTCATCGAAACCTCGTTGACTTGTTCATCGAATGGATGCCGGGCGGATAACAAGCCCGTGGTCTTTTGTGCTCATCGAAACCTCGTTGACTTGTTCATCGAATGGATGCCGGGCGGAAGCATAACAAGCCTACTTCGTCAATACGGCGCTTTCAATGAGTCACTTACTTTGGCCTACGGTGTGCAGGTTGTGCGTGGACTTGCCTACTTGCACAAGCATGGTATCTTGCACCGGGATCTCAAAGGTGAGTATTGCTTAGATTTTCTTGGCTCTAACTAAAAATTATCTGATCCTCTTCAACAAGCATTGCCCTTCAGTACCGCCTACTTCATTTCTCGGTAGGACCCGTTTCTTGTCAGGAGGACTCAAGGAATTCTACTTCAGGCAGCTTTTTGTGATCTGGCACGAAATGGAGTGGTAAAGTTAGCAATGATAGTTGTTCAGCTCTTGCCATACATTCACTGGGTCCAACCCCTCTAACGTTCGCTCTGAACGGTCGAAGTTTTGTTGGTTAGGCTACTTTGATGACGTCAGTAACACCAAATATATCATTTGTGTGTTGTATAAGCTGAGTGAGAAGTGTACGTTTCACCCAATTGGGCAACGTACCAAGTTTGCACAGGTGTTCTGTGACAAAACCCATTCCTTTGAATAGTCGCACCACATATACCGGGTACGGAATGCGCCTTCCTTCGACTAAATCGGAGATGAAATGCAATAATCTGCTCACACATCCAGCCAAGCGGTACCTTGACTAAACTCCCCCGCTGCGAGCGTATATTCTACAAGAGCCAAGGGATTTAATCAAGTCTTACTCATTGACTACCGGGACAGTATCACATTCAGTCCATTTATTCGATCAGCCACGATCCTAAAAGTTAAACGAACCATTTCGCTCCCTGTCACAGTAAGCAGACCTCTGTTGTTTGTGATACCAACGCCATCCATTGCCTGATGCAAAACAGCCCCAATGGGTTCGGAGCTTTGATTTTGCTCAACTTCTCCATATGCGTTGATTAGAATGGCGTGTTTCTGCTTTCCCTTTCCTTTTTTTCTGCCGTTTTTATTGGTCAGCTGTAGCTTAAACGTGTTGACTTTGCAGTGACCATCTTGGATAATGACCAAAAGGTATTTCATACTCTGGGGCTAATTATTCCTTATAAGATGTTTTTGGACTAACCAATCCCGTGGTAACGATGTCTAGCTTCTTTGGAACCATATCAGCACGTATCAATGAGTCATTGCAGTGCGTCAGTATGTCACCTATTGGGTGGGCTACTGTAGCTGACTACTCTTTTGTGGGGACCTTTCCCTATTTAGCTGATTTGTTTTATTTTACAGCGGGGAAAGAATTATTTAGATTGAACGCAGCTGTTTGGTTTAGCGTTGGAATGTATGGAGTTTCTTTTCTGTAACTCGAAAGAAGACTTGCACTTATCCAACTGCCACTCAGGTATTATCGCTTACATGGATTCTTAGTGTTACTGATTTGGGTTTCATTAGTTTCACGCAGCCACAAAATCCGTAGCCCTGCGTGTTGGCCGTATGGAGAACAGCATTTGCTTCGTTTTATCTCGAGTAACAACAGTGCTAATCTCCACAACCTTTGTTTATTACTTTTTACCATTTTTCCTCCGTCAACGGGTCCCAGATTTACTTAGCTCCCTTGGTGCGGATAGTCTGACGAATTCACCGTCCAGACCTTTCGTTTTAATATTTTCACAGTCCAAATGAGCTACTGACGCTTATCCAGTAGCATGATCTGTGACAAGTAACAGTCATCGCTGCTCTTCACCGTCGCACGCTTTGGTATTTTTGGACTGTAGTTTTCATGTACCATCAAAGTAGTGTTCATTGACGTTATATTACATAATTTCTTCCCCCGCATTGCAGGTGCGAATCTGCTTGTTGATCACACTGGCAGCGTGGTTCGCATCTCCGACTTTGGCGCGTCCGCTCGACTGATTGGTGACAAGAGTGTAGCTGGCCAGTTTCAAGGACAAGTAATTGGAACATTCTCATTCATGGCACCTGAGGTAGGTCCGTTATTTCACATTTTCAGCGTCATACAGTTCACTGGGCTCTGACCTTTGTCATCGTTGTTGGCATCATCATCAGCAGCAGCCGCTGCAGTAACAGTACATCACAGTAGGAACCCTAACAACAACAAGACCTCTTATGATTTTCTAATATTTCTCTTTAAGCAACAACTTGTGCAGAGGTACAAAAAATTACGCAAAGTTTGATTGACACCCATCATAAAGCGGATGTCGCTTGCTCGGTTACTGTTAGCAAACAGCCAAATCAACGAAAGATATATTTATCCTAGTATGTGGCTCTATCTGGCTGATCAGTGGCGCTAATTCTGTGCAATAACTGACATCAGACAAGCATGCATTACGTAAGTCTGTTTATTCTTTACCTTATATAGTTGGGGGCAAAAATGGCTGGGAGACCACCAATCAGCACAAGTCATTCATGTGCTAAGTCGATGAGGGATGCAAATGGCATGAAAAAGATGAATGGGAGGCGCCAATTAACTGCAGACGTCATTACCTTAGTGCTGTGTACTTGTGTTTGACTGCACACGACGATGAGGGAAGAAATCCATAAGCAAGAGTGGAAGGAAAACGGAAGGATAGGGGCTTAGTGCGAAGGAGTCCTACATCCTTTAGGGGGTCTTAAACTGGACAGTTTGGTTGGGAAATGACAGCATGTGTGCCACTGAAGCCGATTGTGTGCCATACCCTGCAGGGTTTCCAACCACCTACCAGTAGTATTACGAGAAAGGAAGGCGCGAAAACGATAATGAAAACTATTTTCAGAGGAATCAGATAAGACAGCTAATTTTACATATTCCTCCCTGATGGTCCATACGAGACCAGACTGTGGAGTTCTCTGACACTGTCTTTGAGACAAGTCAGGCTTCGCATATATAGTGAATATGGGCAAGCGGTACGCCCCCTTGCTTTGTGCTCATCGTTGTAAGCGTTGCGGCACGTTATCCCAAACTTCGTCTCTAACTGGTTTGTCAACGACGCTTGGCCATTCTCTCACTCCCTCGAGATTCCATTAGTTGCCTGGCCTTGAAAACTTCGTGCACCGTACGAATCAACCAAACAAGTACCGCTTACCGTTAGCCGACCGAAATTGTTAGATGAACCGTACAACTTTGACAGAATACCAGTGCACGATTGATGTGTGCCGGTCAAACTCGAATAGCTTTGCAGAAAGTCAGAACACACCAATCTCCACCCGAAAGACAAGACGCGTGCAAACGGGGCACTCTCTGTTACTCAGGATGGGAGAAAGATACGATCTAGTTTTGCAAAGAAACTTTTTACTTTGACCAAGTTTGACTTCGTATGTGTGTCCCATCTTAGCGCTGCGAGACCGTGTCCATGATCGTCCTCATTGTAAGTGGAGGAAAGAAGCACTTCTTTGTCAGCTTTATTTGTTGGTCATGAAATAAATTATAGTCCAGTATGGCTTGTAAAGCTATGTTGACCAGTACACCGTTCAATCCGCTGTCATACGAACAAGCTCATTAAAATACAGTCTGATACTACTCCAGAAGGCATCTAAACATTCGACTCTCCTTTGAACGTCTTTTTTCAATTCACGTTCTGAACAGACAGATCCCTTTGTCAGTCATACAAGTCCTGCAGGATTAGATAGCCTTGGAACAAGATATCCTAAAGAGCGTCCAGACGTTCACTAGAATCGCAGCACTAAAAAGAGTCGCCGATGAACAGATACATGTGTACAGAGTTCCATCAGTGTTGGTTAGTCGAACAGGATATCTTTACATGCACTTAACATTCTGAGTCAAAGGGTCATGCATGAAGATCGTTCAGGATCCATTGAAGAAGGTTAACGTTATCCTTTACATGTGCACCCGTATCCTTGACACTAGACTGCAGCACATCTTAGCAGTAGAGCTCGAGACAGCTGAGTTGTCAAGGCGCCAGCTTTCGGACCAGGAGATCAGTGGTTCGAACCCAACCTCAGCATCCCGACTGCTCCTGTATGGGCTTGGGCAACCTGACAGTAGCTCAGCCCTTGTGTCTCTTTCGGTTGACGCCGCCGGTAGACACCGAAAGAATGTCACAGCTGAAGGATGTTTTTCATAGCAGTAGACTGCGAAGTATCGGGTATTACTCCTCAATCAATGGGGAATCGCAAGTTTCGTTAGCTTACTTCTAAGGAGACTTAACCAGTGTCAACTGTCCGTGGTAGTCTTTGTTGGTTATACCAATAATTTTATGCCAGACATTTACGAGATTTCTTTCATTTCTTTCCACTGAATAGTCATAACTTCGAACTGAATGTATTTTATGCAGAAAAATGTGGTTACCTCCCAACACCAAATATTTACATCGTAGGTTTCCGCTCTTTTGTGTCACTTGCAACCTATGTGTGATATTGGCTATGGATGCACCACGCGTGATTTAAACGGCGTTTATTCAGTGACGCGATGTCGCGAATAGCCAGATCCTATTATTGTTGTAAAGTAGCCAGAAACAAGTGACAAAATTCAAAATCAAGCTTATAACCAGGTCCTTTCGAAATAGCCCGGGGAGGGCCGGTTTTTTGCTAACAGATGGACAACGTGGTGAAGGACGCGCGAAATTGAATTATTGGGTTATGAAATCTGGCGGCACAACAAAAGCTCGGGGGAGGGAGGGTTGTTGCTGCTCCCACCTGATGAGCCCCAAGCAGGAATAAACCGGTCGTGAGCTGTCGGAGAATTCCCAGTAGCCTTGTAAACAACGTTTCCATCTAGACAAGATTTTCAGCTGTTATTTGAGGTCGACTAATTTTATTTGGAATATCCAGAAGTTCTAAGTTCTGTTTCTTCGGCGGACTCCTGAGCCTGCAGGTCGCAATAGATACGAAGGAAATCCGAAACATGTTAAAAAAAATTCCAGACTGGGAAATCACAGAATATCTTTGACGCTACTTTCGTGGTCTCAAATGTGTTAGTATCGGAATGCAGTATGCGGTCAAAAACGACTGCATAGTTGTCTGTGTATACTGTTATTGCTCCGGGACGAGATGATCCAGAGATTAGAGCGCATTTTTACTGACCGGTAGGTCCGCGGTTCGAACTCGACCTCTACCTGTCCACTTCTCTGTCTAGGCTTGGGCAACCTGGCAGTATTCTAGCCTTTGTGCTTCGCTCTGATGGCATGGCACCGAAAGAATGCTACAGCTGAACGACTATTGCTCCGGTTATGAATGGTCAAATTAGGAATCAGGTAGTATGAACTGATAACAGTTTATACTGTGCAACATAATAGTTTACACTTACTAGGTGCACCATGTATAATATCGATCCGGTGTCAAAAATGGAACAAAAAATGGACCAGCGGAGTTTGGTTGTCTCCCTGTCTTGTGTACGCGCGCGTGTCGGTTGTGCCGAGTTGCACGTGGATCTATTGTGCGCGATGGCCATTCGACCTTGATACTTGCAAAAACAGAACCAACTGGAACTGACGTGGGTCAAGGTCGTAAACATGGCGCGTGATGCAGGTAGTAGTGACGTAAACAAAATGGATGGGAAACTGCGATTGCGCTGTACCGAGCAAACTAAGCGAAATGGTGGAAAATTACTTAAGTAAAGTTGAACCGCTAGAACACAATAGCGGGAACAGAGGGTTGTGAGGTCCAAAAAATTATGAACTTGGATTTCTTTACCCCACCCACAAATTTTTTTCTTTTTACTGAGCGAAAACCATGACTTTGTATTGATCTGTCTTTGCTTCCTGAAAATTACTTAAGTAAAGTTGAACCGCTAGAACACAATAGCGGGAACAGAGGGTTGTGAGGTCCAAAAAATTATGAACTTGGATTTCTTTACCCCACCCACAAATTTTTTTCTTTTTACTGAGCGAAAACCATGACTTTGTATTAATCTGTCACTTGCTGCCTTGACTTATTCGGTAATTGATGCAACAATCTGTCTTTCAGAAAAATTAATGAAATCGTCTGTATGAGCATAAAACGGTATTTTTTATTGGAAACCTTAGACTGTATCAGATTTGGGGAAAACAGGTTTAAAACTCCCGCATGACGTCTGTTTTCGTTGTGAACCACTGAGTCAATCCCTGAGACTTTCCCTCAGTCTAAACATGATCAAAAGGTTTAACCCACATCGCAAGCAAACTCGGCATGAACTTATTATTCAATCTAGCTACTGTTCAGTCGCTTCAGTTGCTGGGGTGGTCGTATCCTGACCGAACATATCAAGTTTTATACATTCTGGTGGTCTGACAGACTGTAGGAGGTGAAGAAATCTAGAGCACAGAAATTAGAGATAGCAAGAAAGTCTATCAATCAATAGGAAAAGGGTAGCTACACGAAAGGAACCTAATGTGGTCTTTTGCGAATAAGTTGACGAAGCTGAATCGGGAGGTAAACAAAGTTCTGGCTCAAAACGTTGAAATATTGTACCTCGTTTGCTACTGTTTCAGTTATCCAAAACTGCTATTCCGTCATCTTATGTATGTGCACTTTTACTATGTCCCTGCTGCATGCATTTTGATGCTTCGCCGAAATCAACCACATCGTGGACTCGGTTCTCAAAAGAGGCAATTTTTGCTGTATCTCTTGAAGCCTACTTCAACACTAAGTTCTCTTTTAAAAGAGACTGCTTTATCTCTGTCCATTCCGATGATCCCTACCGAGGAATACAACCTTATTTCTCGAAGACGAATGCAAAGCGACAGGTAGTTACAGTAAAACTGATTGTACACTCAAAATGCGTCCGTGTCGGTAACCTCAAATCTCCGATGATAACTCGCAGCACTGTTTACCGTATCGAATAGAGCGCATACAAAGTTCATTAATGTCCTAAAAACCGAAATTAACACGAGAAACGCGCTAAGATTCGAGTATCGCATCGGTGACGCAACTATTCACTTGTCCCTGAGTATATACGCAATCTGTCGAACTTTGGCAACATCTTCCCGGACCTGCGATGGGAGTCCCATCGCGAGTAAAACCTGAAGGAAGCACTCTGTGATTGTCTACTCAGAAACTCATCCTATCCAGCTGCGATCTATGCGGTCCTGTTCTCCTTTCCTATCTAGGTTCTGCGAGGTGAGACTTACGGTCGAGCTTGTGATATCTGGTCCGTCGGTTGCTGTCTGATCGAGATGTTGACCAGCAAGCCGCCATGGTACGATGCCAAACTGACCAATCGATACGCCCTCATGTTTACTGTGAGTTTTCTGATATCACACGTATCCTGGCGCGATTGATTATTGGTTCTTTATACAGAAAACCAGTTTGATTCTGAAACTGTCCCACAGAGTCGAGAAAAGCGTCAGTACTGTTAGTGTCTCATTTATCAGTATTCAGGGTGATATCACCTAGCAGCGGCCGACGTAATACACGATTACTTTCAGTCGAATTCGAAGTCTGCAAACCAAAGTACGGTCTGAAGATTGTGTTTGGCCTGACAAGCGCTGTACCGAATGTCAGAAAAATGCTAAGTAGTTAGTTAGTGAATCATCAGTTTGAGGATTCAGCAATCGATCAATATACCAGAATCTCTTGCCTGAATACTCACGTGAACACTCTCTCGTCCCACTTCAATCTGGCAATGCATATCTGGCCCATTCAAAAGGTCAGCGTGATGGCGTAGCTCCCTTTCATTTAGTCTTAACCTCGCTTTCCTTCCACGTCTCTCATAATGACACCTTTGATTTCCAAAGAAAAACCGTTGCTAACGCTTCTCTTCCGTGAATTTTCTTGGAATGTACCAAACTTGAACTTTGTGTGGACTCGCTATTTTATCGAACCTTTCAAAAAAAGATTGATGTTTGTGTATCGGTTTACTCAGTTTGTGACCGAGTGCCATACCTCCAAGAACTCCCCCGCTTTTCTTGTATTTCCACGTGCCATGACGTTCCGGTTTTATAGAGTGAATTTGTTCCCCTCTTGATCGGATCAATCATCCCCGCGAGGCCCACAAGATGGACTATCCATATTGGTGCCCCGCAAGGACCAGCTATCAATGCAACACAGTTCCTGCTATCACAACAATCCGGTCTCCTCATCCGTCCTATGCAGATAATGTCGAAATATGCAGAGGGACTTGCAGAGGCGATGACCCAGACCTTCCACAAAACGAGGCGAGCCGTCTTGCGCAGTGGTCACGACGGGGTACATGTTAAGCAAAGCCGAAAAATATCGGTGCCTACAAGTTGAGAATAATACTGACATCGGCGCTGTCCTTGTCGGTGGGACGTTACTCGGTTTACTGTAATGTGAGAGACCTTGGTGTTGCGGAATCACACACCCCAGAGATAGCAGTCCGTTTCGGCTGAGTCTGTGCGTCTGCTACAGATACATTAGCTTCCACACCTAGGTCATTGTGCAAGCTTATTTTAGGATAGTCCTCAAAGTCCTTTTCACTACGAAGGTCCGCTATCTGATGCCGCAGATGTTTTAGTTGACCAACTGTTTTTTTCAGATTAATCGCTTGCACCCTCACATCAGCCTGGATGCGCACAGACGATTTGTGAAGTTCCTTCATGGTATGCGTGTGCAGATGCACAGACCCGCCATTTATGAGTCTTGAAGACGATAAACAGATACTAGGTTTTCAAGGCAGTTCGTGAGAAACCACCGTGTGCTTGAAGCCAGATACACGGTAGGTGTCACGGTGATTTAAATGACAAAGATCACAGAAGCTGAAGTGGACCTCCAAAAGAGATACGATTTCATTCACTTGCATCAACGGTCGTGTAAAAACGGCTGCTGAAGAAGACGAACAAGATAACCAAAAGTACATTGAGGACCCGACCACGAATGAGTGCGATTTGTAAGGTGAGGGGGAAGTGGATTTGTTGCATAGGTTATTCCTTCTGGCAGGTTTTAGCTTGAAATGTCGGAAACCCTAACTGATTGTGAACCATCATGTTTGAGTCGTGTTGTCGAATTCCGATTGCTTCTGCAATCAACGATGGTCTGATCTGTACCGCTACTGGCCAGTTCGAAATTAACGGTATATGTATTAGGAGATACGGCGTTTTTCTTTTGCGTAAACGCTTCCGGTAAACGGCTGTGGTAGACTTTTTCTGTCTGTCACTCAGGAAGGCTAAAGTACATTCATGTATCAACTTGAGGGACCATGTCATATGACCAAACTCTGACACAGGACATTAGCATAAGAACGACTGCACACAAAAGCCGGTTGCAGACATTAGCAATTTATCTTTCCGGTGGAAACTGGCGCGGGCTGAAACTGTAGTTCAAGCACAGGTCAGCAGAAATACAAGTCGTTTCAATATAATTCTTTAACTTCATGTTACCTAGCGCAGTAGGAAAGACACTTGAATGGGGGTTTGATCAAACTTGCTTCTCGGCTATATGTCACTTAGTCTTTTGCTTAGTGGATTGCATAATTTCAAATGAGAACTGTTTTGGGTACCCAATTAGCAAAAATACCCGTACCATGGATTTTAGTTTCACCGGTAAACAATCTCTATCACTCCCCCAGTTAGCTTTATTATTAGCTTTTGTCTTTGTTGCGGTGACACGAAAGTATTGAAGTAAATGTACTAACACGTTCAAATGTACTATCTGTGAACATCCCACCTTATGGTCCCATCCTTCCGGTTAGCAGTATCGGGAAGATTTAGTTCACCATTGTTTTCAAGCTTCTTCACTGAGGGTTGCTTTGCCAGATGAAACCAAGAGGGTGCACAAAACGTCAAATATCAGTTTATCGATCGTATCTCGGTCTGCGATTTTTGCTAACCGCTTACAGTCAGAGCGGTATTATTTTCAAATTTTCAGTGACACTACGTAACGGCGAGTGGCCGGACAGCTCAGAAGCAACATTCTGTTTGACTGGGGTGGAGTAACTGCCCGACTGTGAATGTCGGCTAGTTAAATCTTGTTTGGTCAATTGTCATCATTTCGATGAAGCCGATGCTGGATGGTATGTTCCACGCACCCGATGAGGAAACAGCGAATAGCAACATTTCGACTGATACTTGCTGAGTCATCGTCATCATTGTCAGCTGTAATAACCGCGTACTCGTCTTACAGTGGTTGTAGCTGCCGCAGTTTTGTTCACCGATGACTTGGGGGAGGGTTAGGTAGCTGAGCATTGCAGGCGGGAGCTGATAAATTGGTGCATAAATCCAGCATTGAAGGCAATAGCTTTGATGCACGAGCGCCATTGAGGGCGCGACTGGGCCATGTCTGACAATGTCTGACAATGTCTCTAGCCATTGATGTGGCCCGTCTCGAGGTCCCCATCCAGGAAGACGGCTTTCATACTTCGCTGCCAAGTCATTTTTTGACCGCCTCTGGCTCTCTTCCACCCTTCACGTGGTTGTGCGAAAAGATCCCATCGAGGAAGTCGGTCGACTGGCATACGCAACACGTGGCCAAGCCAGCGCAACCTGTGCAGTGTGATTAGTTCATCTATCAAGGGTGAGTTATTTCTCCCGAATACCATTCGACTTGCTGAGTGCTCTGTATAGTCCCGCGAAATAGAAGAAAATCAACACAAGTATTGAAATATAGTTGGGAGGAGCAACCTGATACTCATTTTACTACTGTTGTATGGTAGACGACAAACAAACTGGTGGAAAACTTAACAGACCCGGCGAAATTCTGGTAGCTTGGACACATCACTGTTCGATACCAATCAAATGACCAGAAGTTTGAGTTAAACTGTGTAGCTCACCGGCCTCAATTTACACTAAGACCTACTTGGCTATCTGATAGGAATCTGACTTTGCTGGAGGTCCGGCGACAGATTCAATCTGGCCTCAAACACAACTCAACCCGTCGCATCATCTGACAACCGATAAAACTGAGCGTTCTTGCAGACCGAGAAGCTTGGTGGATTTGAAAGCCCGGAGAAATGGAAAGAGCGAAAAGTGTTGGAAATGTCCGCATGCTGTTTCACTTCATTCATTCGATTGGTCCTCGGAAGCATCTTGTCAGTGGAAATATCAGGGACCAAATTGGATGGCTGATATCCAGCATATGACGGCACTTTGGATCGTTGGATACAGTACTTTGAGCAACACTTTAGTCAGCCACCTGCTACCTCCAATCTAGATAGCCGGCTGTCAACAGAAGGGTGGAGTGTGAACTTGTAGCCCCCTTCGACCTCGGTAGTGTCGGGGCGTATATCTCTACTCAGGCGCCATCGTGTTCTTGTTCATGACGAACTTCCACCTGCTCTGTTTAGCGATAGCGATAAATTTCTCTGAGTGCCTGTCTGTCCTGTTAGCGACTATCTGGGAGAAACAGAGCGTCCCAGACAATTGGAGTGATATGATAATAGTGTCCATCTTCAAAAAAGGTACTCGCAGTGAATGCAATAACCGCAGAGGTGTTAGCTGAACTTCTGTTGTAACAAGACTTCTTGTACCACTGGCTGTTTGCCGTCTTATGGCGGTACGCGAAGCCTCGACCGGGTAGAGGCTGTGTTGACCACATTTTCACACTCCGTCAAGTGCTAGAGCGATGCCACATGTACAGACGACCCAGAATCTCGGTGCTCCATAACCTTAAGACTGCGTTCGATTCTGGCGATCGGTTAGTGCTGTTAACTACCTTTGCTTAACAGCGTATGCCCCAGAAGCTTGTGGACCTAATTCAGTCCCCATATTTACATACTTCGGAGCGTGTGATAGTGTATGATGAGCTCTCAAAAAATTTCGTCTGACAAGGGCGTCCACTCTCTCCATTTTTGTTTAACTTTGTAATTGATGAAATACTGAGGCGAGCGCTGGAATGTCTTCAAAACCCCGGCGTTCATATTGTTGCTAGCGAAATCTTGTCGACCTGGAGTACGCAGAAGACATCGACCTCATTTTTGAAGACCAAGGCGAAGCACGATCTCGGTTGGATAGACTGACCTCCTATCATCTGCGCCTATCATCTTCAAGGTGCAAAGTCATGCTTCAGAACATACAGTCTCTGAACATAACCCTTACAATTCAACGAGAATCACTGTAGGTTGTGGAGAATTTCATGTACGTCGTTAGTTGTGTTAGCTTTGATGGAAATGCGCCTGATTAAGTCGATACATGAATCTCAATGTACCAGAATCACGTTTGCTAATTTGTGGCACCAAATCGGCAGATCGCTGGATCTGAAGGGTTGCGTCTACCAGGCTACAGTAAGAGCTGTGTTGTTGTATGGGTGCGAGACATGGCCTCTGCGGACAGATGATGTGAAGCATCTT